TATAGATTATAACATGTCTAGACTTTAACTTAAATAAAAACGCAAGAGATATATAAGACCACCTAAAAACCTAAAATTCGGTTACATAGCAAAATCAAGCCTAAGTTATAAAAAAGGGAGAATTAAAGCCACGAATCTCAATACTATTATATTTAATCTAGTCTAGAAAAGACGTTCTTATTTTACAGTTAACCCCAAAGTACGTCTCTCCCTGCGCAACCACTATAGCCATTCTCTGCGCTTAATCCCTTTAGGCGGCTTGTGCGCCTAGAAAGCTTCATTGAATCTCTCAGATCGCGGTGCTTAGACCTCTTAGTATATTATGATCTCCAAAGTAATTTCATAGCGAGGGAAGATGCCGCTCAGGTGTGGAACTGGAAGATGAGCCATAGACTGCGCCGTGGTAGTGTTCAGGCTACTGCTCTAGTTAGAGAGTAATCTCTTCAATTAGAGAGGACTGAGCGCCTTCCCCGACTGAAGCATTTTAAAAGGTTTTAGTACCTGGAGCTCATAGCTCAGCTTTCCTTGCGGCCAACACTGATTTGATATTGAATGAAGTTTTTGGTTTCTAATAGCGGTATGCATTAGAGAGATCGATATCGAATTTATAGGTGCGAGAAGACACCCACTGACTATCAGCGGATGTCGACCGCTCTTCAGACATGTCGCCAGAGGAGTGACTAATATTAGCCTCCGACGTAGCATCATCGAGTATATCGAGTTCCTCAGTCTTAGCGTGAGCGTTTTCTGGGCATCGCAGGATGGCAGTCAGGGCGACGGATGAGAATGAGAGGGGGGCCGGGGACTGATTACGACCAGCAGCTAAGTGAGCATTCTTCTCCGAGGACGGAGACTCAGGAACTCTGCTGGGTGACTTCAATGGCGCATTAGCATAAGATCGTGGGTGAAACACTAAGATGGCCGGAGGCGGAAAGGGCTTCAGAACTAGAACGCCAACCATTGTAATTAAGTCCGGGTAGGTTTGTTATTATGAAATGTAGAACACTGAGGTGAAATACGAACACTGGGGATGGAATGGCAATGCTCATCGATACTGGGATTTTGAGTAAGTTTTCCCATCGCTAGGTTTCCAACTTTCCGCAGCTACATGGAATCGGACTTAACGCCATGACTTTAGTATTGCTGGAAAGTTGCGAAGGCTTGAACGCTAGATACATCACTATGGTTCTGCATCCAAGTGTTGTCGCCTTGAGCGCGATATCGATAGGTAATATCGCCCCAATGATATTGTCCATTACGGGATCGATTTTCCAAAATGTCAAAAGGAAGAAAGTCAAAGTCGTCTCCAATGGGGTTTAAAGATGCCAAAACCTGAGCGTCCCGCATGAACCGAGCCCTGAAGTGGGATGTCTCGAAAAACGCAAAGCCGTTCATTTTGCCAAGATCATCCTGTCCAAAGACGGTACCAAACAAGATGCTTAGAGAGAGGTAAAATAGTGCGTGTAGCTGTGATTTCTTCATTCTTGTCGTGGGTTGAAGTGGGCTGGCTAAGCTGTAGTAGAAGATGACGGTGGTTGGAAGAGTGAACGTAGCTGGTTGTACTACGGCAGGAAACTAATTACTCATGGAAAAGAGAACATACGACACCAATGTAATATTGGCGCGGATGACCGGTTGGCGAGTGGAGATGATCAGCCCGTGGCGTGTCGCCAGAAAATAATACATGCGCACAAGCTGGACATCAAGATCGCTCGTTTTGGTTTGATATTGTCATACTGAAGGATTGAAACCAATGACTGTATCATGGCGTTGAGAAATGGTCATTTAAGCGCTTGTGTGTTTGAGTTTGGGGATATTGCCTTGTTGGGTTCAATGCGAAAACACATCTCCTCTAACTCTGTGGGCTCGGAAACCGCATTGTGCTAGTTGGCTCGGGTTCTTTGCCTTTGTATTGGGCAACCTGCAGGAATGCTCGTTTAGGAAGTGAAGGGTCGCTAGCTGTTGCACTTCCGTGAAGTCAGGATTAGGTTCTTGAGGCTAGAAACGCCAACTTCCGGTTGGAGCATTTGGACGATCTGCCATGCCACACAAGCAGCCCAGACTGCATGCTTCAGATGGTTGTCAGCCTATGAGCTTGGGTTACATGGACCTCTTCTAAATTGGGAAGAAAAGGTCCTTGATACTTAGGTTTTACAAAATCGCGCGCTGACTTGGAAACATAGAACTGGCCTTTGTTTGGTGTAATTACTGTTGAACAGTCAACTACCTTACGATAGAAGTTTTGTGAGGTATTAGTTCGCACGACTGCAAGTAAGCTTCAAATGAAGAGGTTTTAATCAGGAGTTTCTTCAGCGTAGTTACAATAATGGGATGGAACCGCCAAACTCTGTCCAAGCATCGGCCACGGTATCTTAGCGCCATGCAGAACAGCCTCAGCTGTGTTTCCCCCAGTGCCTTCACCCCACCCCCATCTCCATTACCCCGCCTGCCCATCTGTTTTCAAGTCTAATCCAGAAACGGAGTTTCGTTTACCTTCAAAAAGAATTCGAAAAACACGTATGTGGCTCGAGCAAGTGATGTTGCAGGAGCAACTGGAAAGATGCCATGGATACCTGCCATCAAATCGATCGAGCTGCACACTTCACTTGCCGCCATTTCCATCTATGTGGGGGCGATGTAGGCTTCGTAAGCAATTTCCACCCGAGGGACGTCAGCTAATGACGATCTCACTGGAATGCAGCCAGGTAACACAAGACATGTTTGCAAACACTTTGGTATAGTGTGACCATTGGTCACGTCCCGCGATGCATGCCCAGGCGACAGATGTGCAAGGATGCTTCACTGTCAAATTCTATCAAAAGAACTTAGTTCGCATAGAAATAAAAGAATGACTACTAGAGTCTGCTTTCAAATAAATGGGGCGGAGTCACTTATCCCTGCGTGGACCAAAAAGTAGTTCATATTTCGCATGACCGGCATGGAGTTGGACCACCGCCTACGCCGCCATCCAACGGACCTGGAGACTGCCTGCTTTGCTTCCTCCATCACTCAAACGTATGCTGGCAAAGGGAAACCTCCTTTTTCCCGGTTATACCCTGCCTCTTCCTTTTCTCAAAGACGTTTTTCGAATGTTTGTGTCGCATGTCGCTATGAGTATCATGGTAATCAATTAGCGACCGGCCTGATTGAAGGGCTTCTACCACCATTCAGGCTATGGCTTCATTGTAAATTGTCCATCCGACATCAAGCAGTCTGAGGATGGTAAATACCTTTAGTGCCTAGAGTGGTCTAAGTGGAACTGGTGATTCGGAGGTTAATTAAAACGCAATTCGGCAATTGGCTAAAAAAGAAAAAAGTGGACTCCGAAGTTTGGGGCCAGGTACAGACTGCTTCAACTCTTTTCTCGTTGTTGGGGCTCCGTATTGCGAACCTCACTTTTCAAGAATCCCATCGTCGACTTGAAAGACATTCACCCTCATGGGCAAGCGCATTATCTTTACAGGCGGTTCCGGTGTCGCTGGCCGCTGGGTAATCCAAGAGCTTCTACGCGAAGGCCACGAGGTGATGAATCTCGACATTGCCCCTCTCGACAGCCCCGCAGTTCATACGATGAGGTGCGACGTCAGCGATGCCGGCCAAGTGTACAGCGCGCTTCACTCGCAATTACGGCTCAGCCAGCCTCTTGAGAAGTCTTCCGTTCCCGATGCTGTCATTCACTTTGCCGGATACGCCCGACCTCTACTCGCTCCAGACAGCGAAGTCTTCAAGACAAACGTCAACAGCATCCACAACGTAATCGAAGCCGCATGCAAGTTAGGTGTCAAGAAAATAATCTTGGCGAGTAGTGTCTGCGTCTACGGAGTCACGTTCGCAGAAGAACATCGGAAATTCATCTCGTTCCCGATCGACGAGGAGGTCGACTGCAATCCCACCGACCCTTACGCACTTTCCAAGGTCGTTGGAGAAACTATTGCGAGGAGCTTTGCAAGTCGGTTCGGGGTTGACATCTACTGCTTCCGTATCGGAGCTGTCATTGAGCCTGAGAAGTATGCTGAAAACTTTTCTGCATACATCAACCAGCCGGAGTCTTGGGATGTCCACGGATGGTCCTACATAGATGCCAGAGATCTTGGCCAGATGTGCCATCTTGGTATTGAGAGAGACGGCTTGGGCTGGCAGGTCTTTAATGCGACGAATAACAACATCACAAACACCGAAAACACAACGGCGTTCTTGAGCCGCATTAGTCCGTCAACGCCTTTCACTCGGGAGATGGGTGAGCGCGAGGCCCCGATGTCTAACAAGAAAATTCAGGCCTTGTTGGGATTTAGGGAGGAACACCCGTGGACGAGACACGTTCCCATCACCAAAAAGACTGTGTGAGAGACAAGTAAAGAGAATTGTGAAAACGAGGGTCATTAGCCAGCGGCGATCATGTTGCACCTTACGCTGATTTCTATTGCAATCCTCAATGGTAAAAGACTTCTTTTGGCTGTCTATAACAAGATACCATTCGGGCTCCTTCATGACGTCGCTATCCCCTGATGTCTTGAGATATCCGGTAGACGTCCGTTTCTCGGAATCAAGAACCCGCAAAGTTTGCCGGACTTATGCCCGAGTCGGTGCGGGGTTCACCCCCAACACTTATCAGCGTGGCTTGCTCCACTGCACCGCCTTCTGAAGTTCCAACAAATCGAAATCGACCTATTTTGATTAGTCGTTACTTTTCTGTGGAGAGGGTCCATCAAAAACCCAGCTTTCTCTTCGTAAACCAACATTGCGTCCATATTCTTTGATTGGGGGCACACTGATATCGTGAGGAAATCGGTCGGGCTCTACCCAGACTACCCCGCACCCCACGTTGTGTGGATGTTTGTCTGTAGCCGGACCGACCAAGCAATATTGAAACTACCTTACTCGTCATACCTGAGTACTTAACTTCTCTTTTTTGAGATTCTGACTATTCTTCACTTGTAAAATTACTTTTGAGTCGACTGTCAGACCTCTGATCCTCGTCGAGTTGTTGCAAATCATTCAAGATGAATTCAAATTTCGATGCGGTTCATCCGGCTGCCGGAGAGGATCAAGGACACCACGACCCTCGATATGTCGAGTTTCCCATTGCGCCGAATGATGCCACCTGGGAAGATGGACAACCGGTCCTCAACAAGTATTCCACATTTCTCACTCGCGAACATGACTTCCCTGGTGCTAAGGAAAGACATCGCCCTGGCTCGTACCTTCTGTGCATTCAGACTAACATCATTGACTTTTGCAGGCCATGCTGTATGCTTCGGGAGTTCCTAACGAGGAGATGATGCAGAGGAGTCCTCAGGTTGGTGTTGCTTCAGTATGGTGGGAAGGGAACCCGTGCAATATGCACCTCCTCGACTTGGGAAAGACCATCAAAGATGCCATCAAGAAGAAGGGGTACATTGCCTGGCAATACAGCACTTTGGGCGTATCAGATGGTATTGCCCAAGGCAATGAAGGCATGAGGTTCTCTCTGCAGTCACGCGAGCTCATTGCAGACAACATCGAAACCATAACTTGCGCGCAGGCACACGACGCCACTGTAGCCATACCCGGATGCGATAAGAACATGCCAGGCTGCGTCATGGCAGTTGCCAGGCACAATCGTCCATCTGTCATTGTCTATGGAGGCACTGTTGCTGGTGGGTACTGCGAGGTGTTGAAGAAGCCCATCGACATTGTGACTTGTTACGAAGCTCAGGGGGCCTACCTGTTCGGCACGCTGGGCTCTTGGTCCGATGACAAGTCTGTCACGCCGGAGGAAATCCTGTCATCCATCGAAAAGGGAGCTGTTCCAGGTCCAGGTGCGTGCGGTGGCATGTACACTGCGAATAGCTTGGCTACAATCATTGAAACTCTGGGTCTATCGGTCACTGGCTCATCGAGTACTCCGGCAGCTTCTCCAATCAAGATGAGAGAAGCAGTCAAGGTTGCTGATGCTATTGAAGTTTGCTTGCGTCGCAACATCCGGCCGAGGGACATACTCACCCAAGAGTCATTTGAGAATGCCCTCGTCATTACGATGGCACTAGGAGGATCCACCAACTCCGTTCTACATACTCTCGCAATGGCCAGAGCAGCTGAGGTGCCCCTCAATCTTGAGGACTTCCAACGAGTCTCTCGCAAGACGCCCTTCATTGCCAATCTGAAACCGAGCGGTAAATACGTCATCGAAGACCTATTCCGTATCGGTGGAGTACCATCGGTCACCAAGCTTCTCATTGCAGGAGGTCTCCTCGACGGAAAGACGCTCACGGTCACTGGGAAGACTCTCGAGGAGAACGTTGCCTCGTGGCCATCTTTGCCACTTGAACAGGATATTATTCGGCCACTGTCCGATCCCATCAAGCCCGCTGGACACCTCGTCGTGCTACATGGAAATATCGCTCCAGGCGGTGCAGTGGCCAAGATCACAGGGAAAGAGGGACTTCGCTTCGAGGGCGAGGCACGCTGCTTCAACAAGGAGTCCGAGCTTGTCACGGAGCTCAACGCCGGCAACATTCCGAGGGACAGGAACATTGTCCTTGTCGTCCGCTACGAGGGGCCGAAGGGCGGTCCTGGCATGCCTGAACAGCTCAAGGCATCCGCGACTCTGATTGGAGCCAACCTCAAAAACGTGGCGCTCATTACCGACGGCAGATATTCTGGCGCCAGTCACGGTTTCATCGTGGGCCATATTGTCCCTGAGGCAGCTGTCGGCGGGCCCATCGCCGCTATCAAGGACGAGGATATAATCTCAATCGATGCTGAGACATGTATAATTAGTATGAATGTAGCTGACGCTGACGTCGAGGAGAGACTGCGTCAGTGGAAGGCTCCCAGGCCTCCCGTGACAAGAGGCACTCTGGCCAAGTATGCTCATTTAGTATCTAGCGCCTTAGATGGGGCCGTGACCGACTTGTTCTAGACTGGGTGGTCTGTAATGTACAAGCTATCTTATGTATTGAGTTTTCGTCGACTTTTTATTTAACCGTGGTCATTATTTCTCTTCCCAAACCGTACGCAAAACCGTCTTCAGCTTTCCCACCTCGAATAACTTAAGTAACGCGGATTACAGCGCGATTACGGACTTCTCGCCGACTTGACCCCCACAATAGCCTCCACGTAGCAGGGTAATACCACGACGCGGGGTTAGATATCCACTAGGAGATTTACCCTATCTAGCGACATATTCTTCTGAGTCGACATTAGTTTAGCTTAGTGGAGACTATCTAGGTAGCCGGTAAGATTAATTCAGGTATATATGGCTTTGATAACATTAATGTCCCATTCTAAAGTCGCGAGATTATGTGAACGTGGGTTGAAAAAGTTTCTAATCACAGAAAAGTGCTACCTAAAGTCGTAAAGGTGAGCTGGTTTATGTTCTAAACGTAAAGCCAGCCCTTTCCCGCCTAGAGCTCTTTTTATAAAATCTTCTACTCCGTACCTATTGCCCAAATAATTTTAACTCTAAATAACAAGTAGGCAGATAGGCTATAGCGGTAATAATAAGCGTTATTTCGTTAGCAATATTACCCCTAGATTCGCTAATTAAGCCGCCTAAGGGTCCCATAAACTAAGTCTCGACTATACCCATACACTATACAACTACCCCGACTAAAAATGCGACACTAGCTCTAATACTAAGAGGCAAGCGGCTCGGGTCGTTCTAACTATCGAGATCGTAATTAGCAAAGTCTCCACGTCAAAAGATAGAATGTTCTATAAGTAAGATGATAAAGTAGCTCGTATACTAATAGCCTAGCAAGCTAAAAAAGTTTTATAAATAAGTATTTAGCTAGCTACGACTACCGAGAGCTAGGCCAATTATAATAGCAAAACAGAGGAAAGTCTAAAGAAACCGAGGTATTTAGGCAAAAGGACGAGCTATTTACTGGAATAAGATGGCCGCAGAGTAGAGGGAGATGATGTTAGTGTTAATACTACTGAAGGAGAAGATAACGAGTAGAAACTTAGTAAATCCGCGCGGGTATAATATGTCTTAGATTAAGAATCCAAGACCCTAGTTCTTATATACGTCTTTCTAGGCCGTCTAGTTATTTAGGGAGCTAGCTACTATAGCGCTAGTAATTATACTAATAAAGGTAGGAATAGTAATACCTAGTATCGTGAGTGTAAAGACTTTAAATCTGGATATATTAGTCGGGTACTAGACGTAGTAGTCAGATACTATAGTGGCCTATAAGGCAGAACTTCTATAAATAATGGTAAGAAGTAAGAGGGCGCTAGTAAAAAGGTCGGCGCCCGTAACCTAGGCCGGCGTGATGTCGTCAGTATACGGGCTAACTATACTAAAGATAATTATAAAGATGATAAAGTAAATAAGCTACGCGTAGCACTTATAAATTAAGATATAGCGTAAGCTAAGAAAGCTAACTAAAAGAGATACGATGGTGATGATGATGATACTGACGACTAGCGAAATACAACTATTAGCTACGGCAGTTAGAACTAATCCGCTACTAATAGAGCCGACCGATACCTATCTAAGCTATTCTAAGCTATTTAAGAAAGTAATAAGTTTATTTAGCTACTAGCTAAAGCTAAATCGTAAGACGGAGATTTAACATAGACCAGTTACTATACTAAACGTAGCATAGTATCTAAATACGGCGCCGCTAAGGATAGAACTAAAGATATAAATAAGAATAGCCCGCTATAAATTAAGACTAAACTCCTAGCTAAGAAATCTAGTAGCAAAATAGCAAATACCTATCGTACTACTTATCTACAGAAAAGCTATAGTTAGCTCTTCGTACTACTTAACGGGCCTCTTATCTACGTCCGTTTTGCGGTTAATAGCATACGACTCGACCCCTAGAGCTTTATCTATTTTACCCTTAAAGCGTCGTAAAGCGGCTAAAATACTACCCTCTTTCAGAAAGTCGCCGCTACCCGCTTCGAGCAAAGCTTAAGGCAACGTCTTTTTACCTATACCTTTCTTTTCGAAGCGTTCTATAGTAAAAGGCCGTCGTCGTGACCGGGATTTTCGTTCTTAGTATTAATTTAGTATAAAGTTACAAAAGGACTAGGGTTAATAAAAGTAATAACGTATTAAATAAGACCCGGTTAACGAGGCTATAAATCTCTTAATATAAAAAGGCTACTAATACGGGGATCTAATATTATATTAAATTATCTAACTCCCGCCTAGCCAGAGCACTCGTGTATATATAAATTTTTATTATTATTTTAGTAGGCTTATCTTTAATACTACTTACCTTCCTAAGTAGACGCCCTAATACCTAGCAAAAGTAATTTACGGGTTTCTAAATTATCGTATGCTATACCCTATATAGTCTACTTAGATTAAAGTACCTTACGGGTTCGATTTAAGGCATATCTATCCGTTACCTTATTAAATACTCAGAATTTAATTCTTATCTTTCTATAATCTTTACGTCCTTTAGTACCTTCTTATTAAGTTTAACCCCTATTAAATCTTAATTAGAAAGGCTTAAGCCGCGGTTATATAACTCTTAACTAAAGCTTTTCGGTTTATCTAGTATTAGCCCAGAAATTAATAATTAAGGGCTAAGCGCTACTTATTCTCTAATATATATAGTAGGGTGCTAAAAGTTCGCATATACCCCCCTAGTACGTTACCTATAGCCTACTAACTACGTCTCTTTATTATTATAAATATCTTCTTAACTTAGGTATAAATAATACAATTTAAAATTTTTATAAAATACTTAAGTATATAAAATATATAAAACTATTTTCTATATATTTTAAAATACGTTATGCTAGTACTTAATAATAAAATATAAAAGTAAAATATAAAATAAAAAAGAATTTATTAAGAAGTATAGTGCTATTTATATTTAAAAGGCCCTATAATCTACTATAATAAAAATCTTTTAAAACCTATTTTTTAAAAGATTTATTTAACGCTTCTATACTTAAGTAAAACATAAATAACTTAGATATATATTAATATAATAGCTAATTAGTTATATAGTAGTTTCTAATTTCTTTTTCTTATTATATTTAAGCTTTTATTTGCTATTGAAAAGTAGTACTTTTGCGGGGTATTATGCGCTATACACGAACTTTTAATACCCTACTATATATAAATATTTAAAAAACACTTAATTATTAGTCGGGTTATAGTATACTAGGGAAGGCCTAGCTAGGTAATCCTAAAAGTTTACCCCGTAATTATCTAGGGGGTAGTAAGGAGCGATAGGATACTACTATCTTAATCTATATAACTAATAATAGAACGGTACAATAGTATACTAGCTTAAGAAAATAGTTATTTAATATGCGCTAACTTAGTACCTTAGAATATAAAAATAGCGCTTATTTATAAAATACCGCGCGGATAAGGCTAATTATAGGGGTAGTCCGGCTCTTATCTTAGCTATTATAGCAAATATTAATTCTACTTTACGAAACTTTTATAGCGTATCTTACTAACTATATTATATATACTATGCTCTATAATAAGATGTATAGTACGGATATGCTAGGCTCTATACCGTTAAGAAATTTACGTACGCTAAAATTTAAAAAAGGCTAGCTAGTTTAAAGCTTAAGTAGAGGATTATAATAACTAGATTATTTAGATCTAGGCATATATAATTATATTAACCTAGAAAACTTAGGATCCCGTCCGCTCTCTTATAAATTAGTTAATAAGAGCTGGATAAGTAGTTAAGTCGGTAACGACTAGCAAATATCTAGTTTTATATATTCTTATAATAAATTTTTAATTAATAAAGTTAAGTTATAATACTCCTTTCTAGCCTACCCCCCGCCCTTCTGGCCCGCCCTTTCTTTCTTCCTAACTATTAATTAAAACGCTTACTTATAATTTTAAACTTAATATAATAATTATGAATTTCTATTTAATATGTATATTTTTTAGATATTTATTAATTTATAAATATTAATCTTTTATTAAAAAACAAGGTTTAGTAAATTTTTAAAGTTATTAAAGCGGGTTTTGATTTAATAGAGCTTTAATTACGTCTAGAGTTACTAAATTATTATTTTATAATTATAAAAAAAAGCTATTAAATAAGATCAAGGGTTTTATACAGCTTTTAAGACTTTTTAATAAAGAATTAATTAGTAAAATAAATTTATATCTTAAGTATTTTAAATGTTATACAGATTTATAGGTTTTAATGATTATTTATTCTAATTATTATGGAAGTTAAAGTTAATAATATTATATTTATTATAGAAGCTATTATAAAAGCTTTTTAAGTTATCTATAATATATTTTAGAAATTAAATAATTTAAGAAAGATAAGTTTAAGTAATAAAAAAGAACGTATAAATATATTATAAATAAGGAATAAATAGTAATTTTTAAAGTTCTAAGACTATAAGTTTGCCTAAATATTTTTTAAGGGCGGAGTATTACTTTTATTAATTTTGTTACTAATTACCTTAAATTATTTTGAACTCTAGCCCAGGGCATAATCGTTAGTCGTAGGTAATACTAATATATTTATATCTAATAATAACGGCCTATAAAAATAATAAAATAGTTAAACTCTTCTCTCTAGATCCTATATATCTATAAATTTATACTAAGTTTAGTCTAGCTTCTTAACGCCCCATAATACTATACTAAATAGCCTAGACCGTGCACAGCCTTATATTATTATAATCTATTAGCTACTATTAATAAAGGCGTTAATAAAAGCTACTAAATAAAAAAAAAAAGAACTAAAGAGTAAGGAATTAATACGGCTAATACTAAATAACGAAATTACTTACCCGCTAATACTAACAGAGTAAAAAGTCTATACTTATTTAAAGACTTACTATAGAGATTACGTCTTATTAAGATAAGTAGTATAGCTACTAATCCGTTTACCTCTTAGCGCCTATCGTCTCTTATTAATAACGACGCCGTTAATATAATCTTAAATACCCCTACCCGCC